CACGACAATGAGCTATTGGTGTCGACCAAACACCCATCTGGTCCCCCATAACGGAATAGACCTTCTATTATCCTTTCTTTGTTTTGACTCGGCGACTCCGGGCTGACCCCCACACCCCGGCTCCCCCGGCCCACGAAGACATTTCCGTAAATATTTCTGGCAGGCTTTCTCACCTGTACCTCACTCACCTTCCCCGGGGGGAGGCGCATCTCACGCGATAAGAGCCTCTTATCTAATTAGTAACTGCGCCAGTCTCTTTGTGAGTATGTGCGTGTGCGTAGCGCCCCCCTCTCGTCCCATGCATCCATTGGTACGTGTGGCAAATATTTGATAAGTTCTCGACTCAGCTTTTAGACAAGTTTTGACAAGGTTGTGGGGGTGGCTGGGGGCACACACAGGTGTTGGGCTGTCAATCAGGAACTTTACTGGTCGTACCACGTGAAATTCTAGGTTCGATAGATCTTTTCATAGACACGTACTAGCAAAGATAGACGAAGACAGTTACTACCAAAGGTTTATATAGATACTCACTATCAATAATTGATATAGACACGTATTGTCATTGATGGATTATCAATAATATACACCAACGATACATTGATATATATACATTAAAAGTTGCCATTGACTTTTAAATAAAACTATCAAGACACCCTCCGAAAGAAATTGACATCGTATACACACACCGACCAGAGTATCACATATACACCAACCATATAATCACATATACACCAAACCACAGTATCACATATACACCAACCATATAATCCAATAGACACCAACCATATAATCCCATAGACACCAACCATATAATCCCATAGACACCAACCATATAATCCCAAAGACACTAACCATATAATCCCATAGACACCAACCATATAATCCCATAGACACCAACCATATAATCCCATAAAAACCAACAATATAATCCCATAGACACCAACCATATAATCCCATAAACACCAACCATATAATCCCAAAAACACCAACAATATAATCCCATAAAAACCAACAATATAATCCCATAGACACCAGCCATATAATCCCATAAACACCGACCATATAACCACATAGACACCAACCATATAACCAGATAGACACCAAGCATATAACCACATATAGATCAACCATATCATCACTTAGACACCGACCACATAATTACACAGACACCAACCACAGTATCACATAAATATCAACCATATAACCACATAACATAGACAACAACCACAGTATCACATTGACACCAAGCATACATTGATATCGACACCAACAAAAGACGGACACTCACGTACACATACGCTCTCTGCATCTAGTAACTATTTATAAACAACATCGAGAATTCTGGAACTTCTATGGCCGCGGGTCGGAGGGCGTGGTCAACAGACTACTGGTCTGGAATGCGAGGACTTTTATATGAAGTCGTAATGTCGGTGCAGCCGTATAGACACCATTTAAAGCAATACTTGATATATTAACAAAAAAAAAATGAAATTTGTGAAAAAATAAGAATAAAAAAATAATAGGAAAACAACAACAAAAACGTAACATCCGAGCTTTTTGTATATAAAAATACCACATTTCGTTTCAAGGCACATGTCTCTAATCGCGGTCTTTAATTAGATAAAGGTGGCAAAATTTTCTTCAAAGCGTTGATTTTCTTTCTCACCTACTCACACACACACACACACATTCTCAATAACCTTGACGGTAATAACTAGTTACGGTACATGATAAGGTTCGATAAATCAACACTTTGAGAGTTAGATTTGAAAATGTCCTCCAGTTAAATAAGAGTGAAATTTTTAATGAACTCTTATACTAACTTAAAAAAAAAATACATGTATAGGATTACATGTAGGCTATACACTATATATTGCAATAATAAAAGCAGTGTTTTTTTGTGACGGTACGTACCGGTACGGCGTAAGGCAACTTTTTCAATGTGGGGAAAACAATTATTACTTTTCTTGTATTTTGTAGTTAAAAATTAGGCAACCAATTACTGAGTAAAGTAAAGTTTCCCTTTCAAACCTGACGGTCTATGGGGCAAGTGAAGTAGAATTCACTTGTTTCTGTGACCTCGTCATTTTTAGGGATAGTATGTTCAGCACTATGCCCAGCCGCCTTTACTTTCCCTAACGTGAGTTAGGTACCCATCACAGTTGGGTGGACTCAGGGACGGTCTACTGACTTGAACCCGGATTTAAACTCGAGACATTACTGAGTACCGACAAATACTTTTTATTTTTTAATTTTTACAAAATAAAGCACTAAATAAAAGTACTGAATTTCTTTTGTTTCAATGTGTTTTTTTTTTATTAGCAATGGAAAATCATTGTTGAATAAATAAAGCTAATTTAGGCTTAAACGCTTGTTGAATAATAATATTTGAATGTTCATGAACATTTGTCTCAATGTTTGAACATTTTAAAAAGTCAAGGCACATTTAACTCAGAGAATATATTTAAAAAAAAAAACACGTAGCAGCTAATGTAAGTTGGCGAATCAAGGTTGTGATCCTAAATAGTAAATCAAGGCTTACTGATGAACACACATTTGTAGTGGAAAAAAAATCAACTTGAACTTAGGTTTGCAATGGAATATGGCATCACACTTGCCCTAATTGGATGCTTAGTTAATTTTAAAAAAAAATTAAATTAAAATAATTAAAATTCCCTGCTTTTAGTACTATTTTTGCGATATTATACGCACATTCATTTGGTGTGCAATTGTTTCTAGTCATGCAATTCTATTTTACAAATTTTTTTTAAATATTGAAATTTTTAAACTTAAACAAGTTTTGATAACAAGCTTTTATATAAATTTTTTTCTTTCTCTTTTTTATTTAAAAAAAAAAAAAAAAAAAAAAAAAAAAAAAAAAAAAAACTCTGATGGGTACCTAACTCACGTTAGGAAAAGTAAAGGCGGCTGACCATAGTGTTTAAAGGTCACAGAAACAAGTGAACTCTACTTCACTTGCCCCATAGACCGTCAGGTTAAAATGCGAAACTTTACTTTACAATACATCAACATAAAAAAAAAACATTAAAAAAAAAGCTTTTATATAAATATTCACTAAAGAGTAGAACTAATCTAAATGAACTAGTAATTTAATAAAGCACTACTATTTTAATATTAAACTTTTAAACTATAAGAAAATCGTGGTTCATCATCTATAGAATACCTTAACTAAAATTTACAAGGCATCCAACGCTTTTCTTTATCGTTATTAAAATGGTAGTGCATTACTAGATCTATATATTTAAAGAAAAGCTTTATCTTCTACTTTTTAGTCCATTGTTATTTAAAAGCTTCTTCTTATTATTTTAAAATAAACTGGGAGTGATCTCCCCTAAATTTTCTCGAATATTCTTATTTAAAACAACTGGGGATGGGAACTCGGGATATAGACATTATTCAACCTAGATTGAATAAAAGTTTTTATGAAGCTTTTATTCAATCTAGGTTGTATTATGCTTCTGTACTGTGTAGTTGTAGCTTTATAACTAAGCAGCGTCCTCTTCTATCATTAAAAAAGGGCTATAAAACTGGTTACTGGCCTGTCTAGTAGTCTGGATTCTTTAATTACCACTAAAATACTTCCATTAAATAAAAAGATAATATATACTAAATCAATTTTTTAATATAAAATATTCCACGAAACAGCCCCCTCTTACTTATCAGACCCATTTTCTTTTAACATAAAATTAAATCGTCGTCTTAATTTACCGATCCCATATACCAGTGGCGTAGGCAGGGGGGGGGGAGTTAGGGGGGTCAGACCCCCCCCCCCATAGACCCCTCGGTAGATACATAACGGTTGAGCGGGGGGTGCAAAATCGTAAGTCTGATGGGGGGGGGGTGCAAATCAAAATTTAAGGGGGGTGCAAATCAAAAGTTTGAAGGGGGGGGGGGGTGCAAATCAAAAGTTTGTCCTCGGGGGCCGGGAAGGGACGCTACGCCTCTGATATATATATATTTATAATGCGGGAAAAAATTTGACCCCCCCATGAGACGATCTTGGCTACGCCACTGCCATATACAACTTTTTTTTCCAGAAACATAGCTTCGCCTACTCTGGTTCTAATTTGTGGAACAATCTTCCTAATAAAATAAAACTATCTAGATCTGAAAATATATTCAAATCTAAACTAAAACAACAATTGTTTAATGACCTCTCTAACTGACTCATTGAAACATTTCTCATTCATCTATATAATTCTTATTTAATCTCATTTTGTATTATAACTATGTAATATTATTTCTTTATTCCACATTTTTAGTGCTATGTTACTGCTATGTCGTTACTATGCAATTGCTTGTTTTAATGCTGTTATTAAATTGTTGTTTTATTTGTTTATTTTAAAACGGCCAATGTGAAAAAAAGGCCTTCGTGCCTACTATTGTTACCGTAATTGAATACATGAAAATTTTTAAAATCTATTTTAAATACATTTTTTAAAATAGAATAAAATCTCGTAGAAAAAGAATTGCACACCAAGTGAACGCCAAATAAAATGTGCATAATAGTGCGCAATATTATTAGTACTTTATAAATTTACATTAGTTTTTTGAGAAATCGGAAATAGCATATCTGAAAGTACCACTTCCGGTTATCGGAAATCGCTCAAAAGTTGATACGGATCTACGATTTTGATAAAATACTTATAGATCTATATCTATATGAAATTTCATCGCTGTAACGGTACTCAAGTTATCGTGTTTACAGACACACGGACACACACACACACATACACAGACATACGGATAAGATTGCAAAATTATATTTTTCCGTATCAGTGAGGTGTAAAACGTCGAGATTTGCAAAAATCTGGATTTTTTTTTGTACGATTACATTACAAGACTTTCTCTATATTTCGTATATTCGAGAAAGTAAAAATAGGCTATAAAAATAAAAACATTTTTATCTTTAACAAAACAAAGTCGTAATTTTAAAATATTTGCAATGTCGTAAAGAACAGATTACCGAAAATAGAGTTTTGGCAATTGTTTTATGTAGCAACAGAATACTATTTAAATTTCTAGAATTGGATGTCTGTAATTCTTCAAAATTAAACTAAACCAGTAGAAATTTTGTATGTTTTAGGATCAAAGTGATTTTGAGAAGCTATTTTTCCTTTGAAATAAATATCCGTCCAGTTATTAGTTTTTTAAAACGGCAAAGTATTCATATCGAAAATAGGTAACTTTGATCGAGCTCAAACAAGCTCAAAAGAAAATCCAAACACAACACTTTTTTGTTTTCAATATTTAATAGAACTAGAATCTAGACTAGATCTGTATCCCAGAATAATATTCATATGTTTATTTTGTTAACAATACTTTGCATAAGTACGATAAAAAAAGTCAAGATGAATAGTGAATTAGTGAACAATTGGACATTGCAATCTTTGTGTTAAAATTTTAAAAATTGTAGGCCTATGCCTAAACAACTAAATGTGACTAAATCACTTTTAAATTAATTATTTTTACATTTATTAATATGGCCTAGGCCTAAAATTACTATTAAAATTTTATTAAATTATGGCGAATTGGGCCGATGTTTTTATATGTTAAAAATACCCACAATTAGTTACAATAGTTCTAGTATAAAAGAATTTTAAAAATTTGTATGACGAGCAGTGTTTTCAGTAATCGTCATAATGACTCTAAAAGCAAAAATGAAATTACAGGCTGAGAACCAAAGCTTGAACTTTTGGGGTTAGAGTTTGCCTCAGTTTACGGCCAGAGGATAGGTTATAAAATTGCCAGTCACGATAAATTTTGAATGTAATTATTTCCTCATTTAACCTATTTCTTTGCTAAGTCCCTTGTATGATAACAAATTGCAAAAATCAAAGCCCAATTTGTTAAAGACCTGATATGGTTAGAGGAAATGAGTAATTGAATAAAAAAATAATATAATTAAAAATAGTGAGAAAGGAGCTGTAAGAACCTTGCATGGGGTCAATACTATAGGCCTCACGAATCTTGTTTTTTTAATATTGTTTCCAGTGTTAGTTTTATAAAAAAATTTTATGATTCAGTTAATTAACTGTCAAGCTATATCATTGTTTAGTAACAATTATTTGATAATAATTAAAAGAACTAAATTGAGAAAATAGATAAATAAGTAACCGGTTCTTAAAATATCACTGCATGTAATAAAAAAAATTGACCGTTTAACCAAATCCTGGCTATGTTTCTGACCTTGGCTCTTACCAGTTTTGTGTTGTTCTATGTGCATTTTTTTATAATACCTTATGAAACATTTATACAGTTCTCTTACATTATTTATCCAAACAACAAAAGTATTTTTGAAGTCCTCTGCTTTAATACATTTCATTTATAAATGTATTGAGACTTCTCTGATGATCATGGTTAGGTTTTACTTAAGTATCACCATCAGCAAATATTCATTTTATGTTTCTGATTGAGTTATTTGTTTTATTTTCTTGTTGCTGAAAATTATTCTTCTCCCATCTGTACCAAAGATGTATTACAACCTTCAAGTATCTGTTATTTTAAAAAAATTATACTTTTGAAACAATGTTTGGATTTAATGCTGTAATATTTTGTTATTTACGCATTGTTTTGGATTTAAAACAATACCAGCATAAAACAGCATTATGTTTCATTTGCAAAGCAACATTGTTTAAAAAATTGACTTTTTAAAATAATAAACAAAAGAATCATTTTGAAAAATTCAATACATTTCTTTTTACCTCCACAGATTTTGTATGGAGGGCTAGTCATGAAAACCTACCCAGGTCCTGCTAGAATTAAATATTGAACACAAAAAATGAGTTACTTACAAGACAACTCAGATATTACTAATTTAAGTGTTAAAGGTAAGAATTAATTGCAGGATGTTACCCTAAATGCTATAACATTTTAAAATTTTCTTTTGTGGTCGTTGTATTTAATGTGGCTTTAAGCACCCTGATACCATGTATTGCTGTGGTCAAGCACTGTGATAGCATGTATTGCTGTGGTCAAGCACTGTGATACCATGCATAGCTGTGGTCAAGCACTGTGATACCATGTATTGCTGTGGTCAAACACTGTGATACCATGTATTGCTGTGGTCAAGCACTGTGATGCCATGTATTGCTGTGGTCAAGCACTGTGATACCATGTATATGTAACGAGACCTATTTGCCTGTAGTGCCAAATGTTAACGAGTTCTGCTCGACAACGCCAAATGTGACCTAGGCTACTCGCAGCGCCAAATGTGACCCTGTCCGACGACGCCAAATGTTACCGAGTCTAACCACTCATTCTACACAACATGGACCACAGTATAGATACTCGAAGATGCAGGTTCGCTATTGATCCTTTTATTACATGAATCAAAGAAATGCTTCACAATAATATACTGAATCAAAAGGAATGCTTCACAATAATAGTTTGAATCAACTGACTCCCAACAGTCCTCACTAGTCTTCATATAACTGAATACACATGTCTATAGTCCTTCTTAACACAATACGGCTAACCCGTTCTATAACCAACTTGAATACTGCCACACAGACTGACTGATCGAGAGGGAGCGAGAGAGAGAGCGAGCTCAGCCGTCGCCTTCCTTATATCCCCTTAGTATATCCGTAATCGTATTCGGTTCTCTCATAGTTATGTTCCATCCGAATATCTCGCCTTCCGATTACTACGCAGTTGTCTCATCAGTCCGGTTAATATAACACCTGCATCCTGTCACATCAAAGTTGACAGACCGTATTGCGTTCTTATCATATCGCTTCCCAAAATACTACGCCTTGGCTTTATGATCGTTATCAGTCTACCATCTGCACTATTGCATCAGACTGTAATACGTTGTTAACCATAGTATGGTAACTACACCTAGTTACATCCACCGCCGCCTTTTTTTGTGTGTTTTCAACCACAAACAACGCTTGGTAGGTGCACTCCTTCAAAGTCAAAAGCACCGCCGTAAAAAAAAATGTATTGTTCCACTCACTGTCAATGTCGCCACATTCGTATAAGATTGACAGTTATCCCTATTTCACATATCAAATGTGTCTACATCATCCTCCTCAGACACAAAACAGTTCTAGAATTCACATCCACCTTTTTTCGTTTGGTGCTTTCACCAGTTCCCTTTTATAACTTTTTGAACAGTCTGTTCTCATACCAGCGCGACCATGAAAGAATTGATGGTTGCTGACGAAAAATTTCGTATTCTTTCTGTTTCTCAAACTTCTCCGCGGACCACTTATCTGATGGTCTACTGTCTCTCTGTTTCTGGGAGGAACGGGATCCTCTTCGTTGCCGTTATCCTCCACTTGTGTCTCGCTGTTGTTCTGTTGATGGTGATATGGTTCCGGGATGGGTATGTGAATTTCCGTTATAGTTTCCGGTTCCCTAATTGTCTTGGGTTTCCTTGTGTGTAACTGCTCTTCTTGACTATGACAATATTTCTTTAATTGAGCAATATTCGCCCACCGATCCGGTTTGGCGTGATCGATGGGTCTTATCTTAAAGGGGCCACCTGCTACTTTAGGCATCTCCACGACTTGCCATATCTCCTGTCCCCAGAGATCGTGGATTTTGTTTCTGCCTAACGGGTGGCTACGCAGTAATACCCTGTCGTTCAGTTTGAGTGGCGGGTCCTTTGTCTGTACCGGCGGTTCCCTTCGCCGTGCTTCATGTTCTAGTCTTTCCTGTACTACCCTGTACATTTCTCTAATTCGTCTCATATGTTCATTCACATATTCCAGTGCAGTGTATGAGCCAGTCATACTCCCCTTTTTTTCTAGGAACAAGTCAAGAGGGAGTCGAGCCTCCCGTCCGAACAGCAACATGTGTGGCGAAAAGCCGGTTGTGGCATGGGGGGTGCAGTTGTATAGATATACCAACTCTGGGAGAAAATCAGGCCAACGTTTTTTCTGTTCAGGTTCTAGAGTACGCAGCAAATTATGCATGCTGCGGTTGAACCGCTCGCACTGTCCGTTTCCTTTCGGATTAAATGTGGTTGTTCTAGATTTGTTGATCCCGTAGTGGCTGCACAGTTGGTTAATTACTTCTGACTCGAAGGCCCTTCCTTGGTCAGAGTGTAATTGTCTTGGTATGCCATATTTGATGAACCAATGTTCTATTAAGACCTTTGCCACTGTTTTGGCAGTCTGATCTCGTGTGGGCACCGCCACAGTCCATTTGGTGAATACATCAGTCATTACCAACACATGTTCCGTCCCATCCGATGATTGCTCCAACGACGTAAAGTCCATAGCCACAATCTCTAGTGGTTTTGTCGCTAATAGGTGTCCCGATGGCTGTCTCATTTTGACAACTGGCATTTTCGCATGCTGACACCTCACACAAGCCTCACAATGGCGTTTGACCTCCATCTCCATATTGGGCCAGTAACACCTTCGTCGTAATATTTTGTGCGTCCTGTCCTGACCCTGGTGTCCTGCCCTGTCATGTGCCAACCTTAGCACTTCTTCTCGTAATTGTCCAGGCACCACCACCTGGTGTATTGTCCCATCAATTTGGTCATAAATTCTCCGCATGAGAACACCATCCTGTATACTGAGACGGTCCCACTGACTCAGTATTTTCTTTGTTTCTCGACCAAATTGTTCTCTTTCCCTTCTTCCTGGGAATTTTTGTTCCTGGACGTGTTTCAACAGCGGCTGTAAGCCACTATCCGTTCTCTGGGCATCTCTTATCTCTTTGTGATTAAGGCAATTAAAATTACCAATGTCCATATGTCCGGGCTCTGTGGAAATGTGCTCCACCCCGGTCTGTCCGTTCTGCCTCACTTGCACCCCGTGAGGGATATCTGTTGACGCTCTGACCTCACATATTCCTGTCAGCGTTTCTTCCTCATCGCCCGGTCTCTCGTAAGGATTCCTTGATAAGGCGTCCGCATTGCCATTGGACCGCCCCGGGCGATATTTTATCTCTAGGTCCAAGAGTGCCAATTCTGCTGCCCATCGCTGTTCGATGGATCCCAACTTTGCTGTCTTTAGGTGACTCAAGGGGTTATTGTCAGTGTATACCACACATTTAGCACCTAATAAATAGTCCCTGAATTTTTCCGTCACAGCCCATTTTAATGTCAAAAGTTCTAGTTTCATGGCGCTGTAATTTGTCATGTTCTTCTCTGATTCCTTCAGAGCTCGACTGGCATAAGCAATAACCCTGAAGCCTTGCTTTTGTTGTTGTGATAGCACAGCTCCCAGACCTTTCGAGCTGGCGTCAATTTCTAGCCGAAATGGTTTGTCAAATTCCGCGTATCCCAATATCGGCGTCTCTGTCAAAGCCTTTTTCAAGAGCTTAAACGAGTTCAGGCATTCCTCAGTCCATAATTCACCTATCCTTTGTGTTTTACCTTTCTTTTTCTCCTTACTGTGTTTCTTTGTCATTTTGTTTACCAAGTCATGCAATGGTGCGGCAATTTTTGCAAAACCAGGTACAAATTTTCTATAATAGGAAGCAAAGCCCAAGAATGATCTGACCTCTACTGTAGTTGTTGGCTGTTTCCATTCTTTAACAGCTGCAATTTTATCTGGGTCAGTGGCGATGCCATCCGACGAAATCACGTAACCCAAAAAATGTACCGATTTCAGACCGAAGCAGCATTTGTCTGGGTTCAGCTTTACTCCTATCTCCCTAAGACGGAGAAACACTTGTTCTAATCTTTTTAGATGGTCCTCCCAAGTTTTTGAGTAAACTAGTATATCATCCAAGTACACCAGCATTATTTGAAATAGAAAGTCACTCATAGCACTCTGCATTACTCGCTGGAATGTAGCAGGCGCATTAGTTAGACCAAACGGCATACGGGTCCACTCGTACAGTCCCAGTGGAGAAATAAATGCAGTCTTATGTTGATCGTTGGGGTGCATGGCCACTTGGTGGTAGCCGCTAGCCAAATTCAAGGTAGAAAAAAATCTTGCTCCCCCCAACGCATCAAGACATTCATCAATACGAGGCAAGGGGAATGCATCCCTTCTTGTGATATTGTTCAATTTCCGGTAATCACAACACAGTCTTATCTCCCCTGACTTCTTTTTTACCACTACTATCGGTGCCGCATACGGGCTAGTGCTGGTTGTAATAATTCCCTTTTTTAGTAGATCGTTCAGGTGTGCTTTCACCGCCGAGTAGTGACTTGGTGGCAATCTTCGATAAGGTTGCGCCACCGGCTTGTCTTGTAGTAAGGGTATCTGGTGTTTTATTACTTCCGTGTAACCCAAATCACCCTCGTACGAGGCAAATATATCCCTGTACTTATTCAGCAATTCATTTAGTTTTGGGTCCTCAGTTTCCGGGAATGTATATGATCGGCCATCCTTTTTCTTCACCTCGGCCGTCACATTGACCGACCTAATTGTTACTTCATTACTACTGGTATGGCTCAGTTCGATGCACTGTGCCGACCTTAGTACCTCGACGTTCTGTGGTACTCCTACCAGAGTATTAGGCGGTATAAAAATTTCCTCATCCAAAACATTTGCCACTAATCCTTGAACTAGTCCCTTCTCCGCTGATGTGTATGTCCGCAGTAACACGACGCCTGCCCTCAGTGCGGCGCCACATGGTTCTATCATCACATCACCATTCACGCTTCTATCACCAATTTGTAATGTGATTGCCTTGACCGTGTTTGCCGGGACTGATATCCTTCCTCTGGTCTTGGCAAACCTGGCCAACTTGGATCCCCGACCTGGTGTGGTCGATCCGACAATATTTGTAAGAAATTCTGGCAACTGGCCAAGAATATTCATGCCCAACAGGCAAGGTATATTTGACACATTTGTCTCTAGGTTGTGTTTCGTAACGAACACCCCAACCTGCTTCAACCTATGTCCTGCCACCACTACATCCGCCAGAAAATAACCACAGTATGGAATGGTTAGTCCATTGGCTGCCGTCAGGCGCATGCACGTGTCAGACCTCAACCTATGGTCTTTTCCTTTCATCCATTTGGTGTAAAAATTTTCCGTGATTGTCGTCACCTGGGAGCCTGTATCCACAATTGCCTTCACCGCGATGTCCCCAATCGTAATCACCATTTCGGGACAGACTCCCATCATTTTGTTTCTTGGGCCATAACTTCGCCCCTCTGTAGCCTGACCCTGCCTTACAGAGGACGACCGTTTCCCTGGCAGTACCGTGCCATGTGTCCGGGTTGTGAACAGGACAAGCAAATTGGTCGACCGTCGGCCGTCCACCGGAGCGATGGACCGGCGGGTCGCGGCCGTCCAACCTGTCTCTGTTTTGGCCCGTTCTTTTCCTGATTCTCAGCTGTTGACCTGCTCTCTAACCTCTCCAATCGTTGGTCAACCTTATCCAGGTGAGCCAACAGCTGAGCCATCATGGTTTCCACCGTGCCGGTCCCTGTGGGTGGGGATTGTTTCTGTTCCGGCACAGAGACTTTGTCTACCGAACAGTTCGATTGGTCCTCATCCTCGGACCTGCGGATCGCTGAGTTCCTGACCTGAAGGAAGGTCAACTGCGGGTCTTTGTGGACCTCTTCTTTCAACTCTCTCCTTAAGATCGGGGTTGCCAGCCCCTCGATGAAATGGTCCCTCAGTAGGCGTACATCAATGTCAGGTGTTTTGCCCTTTACCGAATCAAAGGCCCTGTTCATTCGGTGTGAATACTCCATCACACTCTCCGCCATTCTCTGCTTCAAGCCTACTAACACCGTTAGCAGTTGCGATCCCGACCGTCTCTCCCCAAAGGTCTCCATAATTAGATCCAGCACCTTATCTGGATCTGATTGGATGGTTTTATCGTGGCATTTGACCTCTGCCCTAACCGTCTCTCCTATACTGCCCATCAGCAGTCTTAATCTTTCCTCTGGTGACATGCATCTCGAGGCCCAGGCCGCTTTGACCTCTTCACTGAACCTGTTGGTTAAAGCCGGATCACCGTCCCCGTAAAATTTGTTAATGTGGGACTCTCTGGGCAGGACCACAATATGGGTCTGCTTCTCGTCCAGAGTAGACATTTTATTCCTTGAGTAAAAAAAAAGAGTTCTTTCTTACCGTGTGTGTATGAAAAATTTTCCTCGTTCCTCAATTTTCACTGTTCCTGAATGTTCGAATTCACACACACACTAAACACAGTTATGAACAAGGTTGACTATGGGTGCCTAAAGCGGCAAGTCTAGTTGAATTCATCCTGTCCGCAGCGCCAAATGTAACGAGACCTATTTGCCTGTAGTGCCAAATGTTAACGAGTTCTGCTCGACAACGCCAAATGTGACCTAGGCTACTCGCAGCGCCAAATGTGACCCTGTCCGACGACGCCAAATGTTACCGAGTCTAACCACTCATTCTACACAACATGGACCACAGTATAGATACTCGAAGATGCAGGTTCGCTATTGATCCTTTTATTACATGAATCAAAGAAATGCTTCACAATAATATACTGAATCAAAAGGAATGCTTCACAATAATAGTTTGAATCAACTGACTCCCAACAGTCCTCACTAGTCTTCATATAACTGAATACACATGTCTATAGTCCTTCTTAACACAATACGGCTAACCCGTTCTATAACCAACTTGAATACTGCCACACAGACTGACTGATCGAGAGGGAGCGAGAGAGAGAGCGAGCTCAGCCGTCGCCTTCCTTATATCCCCTTAGTATATCCGTAATCGTATTCGGTTCTCTCATAGTTATGTTCCATCCGAATATCTCGCCTTCCGATTACTACGCAGTTGTCTCATCAGTCCGATTAATATAACACCTGCATCCTGTCACATCAAAGTTGACAGACCGTATTGCGTTCTTATCATATCGCTTCCCAAAATACTACGCCTTGGCTTTATGATCGTTATCAGTCTACCATCTGCACTATTGCATCAGACTGTAATACGTTGTTAACCATAGTATGGTAACTACACCTAGTTACATATAGCTGTGGTCAAGCACTGTGATAGCATGTATTGCTGTGGTCAAGCACTGTGATACCATGTATAGCTGTGGTCAAGCACTGTGATAGCATGTATAGCTGTGGTCAAGCACTGTGATAGCATGTATTGCTGTGGTCAAGCACTGTGATACCATGTATTGCTGTGGTCAAGCACTGTGATACCATGTATAGCTGTGGTCAAGCACTGTGATACCATGTATTGCTGTGGTCAAGCACTCTTATGCCATGTATAGCTGTGGTCAACACCCTAGCACTATGTATTGCTGTGATCAAGCACTTTAGTGAGCTATGTGCTCCTCACCAAAGCACATCCTAACCCAAACGTCAGATTAACACAAATCTTGAACCAATATCACATAAAAGTATCAATGCAAGTTAACCAGTTATGAATGGTTTTTTAAACAGATTGGTGCTGATCACATTGAAAACAGATTAATGCAAATTATATTGAAAACAAATTAGAAAACAGATTAGTATGTTAATATGTCTACTGTTTTTAAAAACTATGGAATATTAAAGAAGATTTTAATACTGGTTTTTTTTTCACTTCTATTTTAAAGTTAGTGTTTTACAAATAAATTTTGTTTCACCAGTTTTAATTTATTTCAGACCCAGACTTAAGTATACTGTTGGAAGAAAACAAAAAGCTTGCTGCAGAATTAGCTCAATGCCAGGTATCTTTCTTTTTTGCTCTATCAAATCTTTTCAATTAAATTTTATTTTCTACCGTATTGACAATTAAAAAGAATACAATAATGTCTGTTTAGCCTCTAAGATTGCAAGCACTAGTGTCTTCCTGGCCTTTATGATTTCAAGTGGTAATAAAAAGGAATTTTTGTTGTTGTGTTTTAGACGGACAAAGAATTTGTTTGGTCCTTGTGGAAAAAACTTCAGGTCACCAACCCTGATGTCACAGAGGCAATCTCTCTTGTAACTCAGAGGTACCGTTTATGTACATCCTGTGTAGTAGCAGTTCATTTCTTGTTGATATGTGTTTTGTCTGGTAATATTGATGTTATTGTTTTTATCTGTTACGTACATAAATGAATATGCAACTGTGAGATAAAATGTAGTGAGGGATAATACAAATAAATAAAGACCTAAACAATTATAAACAAAGTAAAATTAGAAATACTAATGGGGAATAGATGCAAATCTTCTGCTTAAAAGATACAGCAATTGTTTAGAATAAAAATAAATATATAAGAACTGCATATGCTTATTGAAAAACTGAACAGAACAAAAAATCAACTGCTCCGTCTAAAATTGTTAGTAAAATAATTTTTAAATAGCAAGACAACAAATGAAGCAAACAAGAAGAATATTAATTGTGTCTCTACTTAACTTTTCATGCTTTTTGGTTTAGCTTTACAAATAATGCTCATTAAATATATATGTAATTAAAAATAATTAGTTTTGTACTTTAAAAAAAAAGAAGTTATGTATTTTTACCATATTTTGAAAATCATAAATATTGTTTGCTCACTAGTTTTATCAATAACATAATTTTGTAGGATTCATGTTGTTAAAGGAAAATTTGATGTATTTGTTGTAGAGAAAAAGAAAAGTCTGAGATAAAGGATCGCAAAGTTTTGGAGATCATCCAGGTAAAGGACGACCGCATTGAGGAGCTGCAGAACATTGTCACCAAGCAGGCCGAGGAGATCAGCGATGTTTTGTCCAAGTAAGCTGGCCAGATTTCTTGTTACTTTCTTCAGGGTCCATGTCTGCCCAATTATTTTAGATTCTCTAACAAGCTAGTTTGCCAGATTTCTTGTTACTTTTTTTAGGTGCCATGCATGTCTGCCAAATTATTTTAGTTTCTCTAAATATCCAAGCTAGTTGGCCAGATTTCTTGTTACTTTATAAGTGGCCATGCATGTCTGCCAAATTATTTTAGTTTCTCTAACAAGCTAGTTGGCCAGATTTCTTGTTACTTTATTTAGTGGCCATGCATGTCTGCCAAATTATTTTAGTTTCTCTAACAAGCTAGTTGCCCAGATTTCTTGTTACTTTATTTAGGGGCCATGCTAGTCTGCCAAATTATTTTAGTTTCTCTAACAAGCTAGTTGCCCAGATTTCTTGTTACCTCTAGTGGCCATGTAGGTCTGCCAAAATATTTTAGTTTCTCTAACAAGCTAGTTGGCCAGATTTCTTGTTACTTTCTTTAGTGGCCATAATGGTCTGCCAAATTATTTTAGTTTCTCTAACAAGTTAGTTGGTCAGATTTCTTGTTACTTTATTTAGTGTCCATGTATGTCTGCCAAAATATTTTAGTTTCTCTTAACAAGTTAGTTGGACAGATTTCTTGTTACTTTCTTTAGTGGCCATAATGGTCTGCCAAATTATTTTAGTTTCTCTAACAAGTTAGTTGCCCAGATTTCTTGTTACCTCTAGTGGCCATGTAGGTCTGCCAAAATATTTTAGTTTCTCTAACAAGCTAGTTGGCCAGATTTCTTGTTACTTTCTTTAGTGGCCATAATGGTCTGCCAAATTATTTTAGTTTCTCTAACAAGTTAGTTGGTCAGATTTCTTGTTACTTTATTTAGTGTCCATGTATGTCTGCCAAAATATTTTAGTTTCTCTTAACAAGTTAGTTGGACAGATTTCTTGTTACTTTCTTTAAGGGCCATGAGTGTCTGCCAAATTATTTTAGTTTCTCCTAGCCAGTTGGCCAGATTTCTTGTTACTTTCTTTAAGGGCCATGCGTGTCTGCCAAATTATTTTAGTTTCTCTAACAAGCTAGCTGGCAAGAATTCTTGTTACTTTCTTTAGTGGCCATGCTAGTCTGCCAAATTATTTTAGTTTCTTTAACAAGCTAGTTAGGCACATTTCTTTTTACATCATTTAGGGGCATTATCTGAAATTTCATAAAAAAACTAAAAAAAAACTTTAGGAATACATCTGATATCTTAAAAATTTCTAATCTGGGCACATTTCTGATATTATCTTAACTGAAAATTTTGCAAAGAACGCAAGTGATATTATCTCTTATAAACGTTTTATCTGATATAATCTTAAAACTTTCCAGGAAAGTGGAACTGACAGAGAAGATCACCAGACTGCAGCTAGAGAATGATCATCTGAATGACAAGATCAACATGCTAGAGATACAGGTCAGTTTGTCTTAAAATAGTTCTACAATAGATAGAGAAGCAGATGTAACTCCTAGACAGACAAGTGGCTGTACAGGTAGACAGGTAGTTGTACAGGTAGACAGGTAGTTGTACAGGTAGATAGACAGATAGTTGTACAGGTAGACATGTAGTTGTACAAGTAGATAGACAGATAGTTGTACAGGTAGACAGGTAGTTGTACAGGTAGATAGACAGTTGTACAGGTAGACAGGTAGTTGTACATGTAGACAGGTAGTTGTACAGGTAGACAGGTAGTTGTACAGGTAGACAGGTAGTTGTACAGGTAGATAGACAGATAGTTGTACAGGTAGACAGGTAGTTGTACAGGTAGACAGGTAGTTGTACAGGTAGACAGGTAGTTGTACAGGTAGATAGACAGATAGTTTTAGAGATAGACAGGTAGTTGTACAGGTAGTTGTAGAGGTAAACTGACAGGTAGTTGTATATGTAGATAGACAGATAGTTACACAGGAAAACAGACAATAGTGCCGGTATACAGTTTTATTTGGTTTAGAATAGCTCCTGAAAAAAACAATTTTAAAATATTTCTTATGCAACTAAACAACTTAGTGCTTGTGGACATTTTTTTTTAAAGCTCCCATATAAAAGAAAATAACTTAGAAGAGGAAAAAAAAACATTTTTTGATAGTTCATGAGGAAAAAAAGAGTTTAGATCAAGTCCTATGTCACAGTGTAATATTTTTTTTTATTATTGCTATCTCACATTTGCAACATTTGTTCACCAATTTCAGAATATTTTTTTTCTTTAGAAAGCCACAAAAGACACAAAGTAAAAAGATCTATAGAATTACCCATATATTTTAGAGTAGATTTTGTCTTTGACATTTAAGGGTTTGAGTTTTCTGATGAACAGCTTAATTTTCAAGGGTTAGTGGTTAGTAGTTTCGATTTATGTCAAGGTTATTATATCACAATGCTGAGTTTCAGCGACAAACTATTATATTCAACATCCTGAGATCCATCTTCAAACAGTTCATTAGATTGAAGCACCAAGTGTTGATTATTATATTTATTGGCTTGAAATACTTGTTTGAACATCCATTAATTTTATTGACGTTTAAAACTAGTGTACTGTTTTTATTATTTTTTGTTGATGTGAGATAGCAACTTTTGACAACTCTGAATACATAAACGTTAAAACAATGCTCAAATAGGCACTGGGGGCTGTTGAGGGGTGTAAAAGTTACCCCTGGGGGGGTGTTATTGAGAGGTGTAAAAGTTACACTTTTGGGGTAAATAAGAGGTGTAGAAGTTACACTTGATGTTAGTTAGGGGTGTAGACCCACCTCTAATTAAAACAGGGTATGATAATGTGTTGTATACTTCTGTTATTTTTTTTTTTAAAGTTGTCAACTCATTATTGTGAAGGTGGGATGGTGGTGGTGGATGGGTTGTGACAGTTACCCTTGTGCTTGGATTAACGGATTACATCAGATTTATTTTGCATGAGCCGATGACATCACACCCTCTCCCTTCTCCATTCTTGCTCACCCTGAAGACAATTTCACAAGTCTCGTCCCCCCCAACCCTACTCATCCCCCACCCCCAGCTGAAATCTTCAGTACATTCCTGGGTTGTCCCCATCCCTGTTCGACTGTATGGGTTGTCGTTTAGTGCAATCGTATCAGTGACTGTGTTAGTCTGGGACGTGGATTGGTGTGTGGGCCATCGTGTGTGTCCCCGGCTGTTTCATGCGGGGCCACAGCTCATACGCACAGGACCACATATATTTCACGTAGGACCACAGCTAAATCGTATAGACCCACCCATCTGTTTCTATGTCGTAGAGACCCCCCACATCTATTTCGTGTGAACCCCACATCTATTTCCCATGGACCCCCCACATCTATTTCGTATAGACCACCATCTATTTCATACGGACCCCCACATCTATTTCATACGGACCCCCACATCTATTTCATTGAGACCCCCACATCTATTTCATACGGACCCCCACATCTATTTCATACGGACCCCCACATCTATTTCATTGAGACCCCCACATCTATTTCATACGGACCCCCACATCTATTTCATACGGACCCCCACATCTATTTCATTGAGACCCCCACATCTATTTCATTGAGACCCCCACATCTATTTCATTGAGACCCCCACATCTATTTCATACGGACCCCCACATCTATTTCATTGAGACCCCCACATCTATTTCATACGGACCCCCACATCTATTTCATACGGACCCCCACATCTATTTCATACGGACCCCCCCACATCTATTTTATACTGACCCCCACAACTATTTCGTGCGGCACACTCCCCGTTCGGTGCGGGGCCAGCGCTATTCGGTGCGAGGCCATTTTACACCCGCTTTGATCGCTCGCCCCCTCCCCCGGGGAATCAATTCATTTATTCATAACTACGCCGTGGACCGTCTTTAGGGCGTCTTAAGGGACGATGATTTGTGAGGGAGCACTGTCATTTGTCGCAGTCGTAGAATGCTCAATTCTTAGATGGCGCGGCGCTTGATGATGGAGACATGCATAAGTAGGGGGGAGGGGGGGAGGGGGGGGGGGGATGGGGGGGGGGGGGTCGGTGAGGCGATCTCGGTTTGGAGGTGGGGTGAAGGGGTGAGGCGATCTGTGTGGAGGAGATGTGGGGTGAGGGAGATACTATGGAGAATAAGGGAGGAGTGAGGAAATCGCTGTGGGGGCGGGGGGGGGGGGGGTCCTTATTTAAAATGGTTGGAGGCGTTAATGCAAGGACGTTAAATTACATGCCATATGTATTGTACCATGTGTATTTCAGTACAACTGCGTGTAAAAATTACAACTGTATTATAGTCTTAGCATATTTTCCAAAACAAAATCCGCCCCCATCTATTTTTATTTTTCCATAGCTTGACACACAGACTCCAGCTTGCTTTGCCCATCCCCAGGTAACCTAACCCACCCCTGCATCGACCTATTGGCTACTGTCATTTTGAAGCTAGACACCCTGCCACCACACCTTACTGTCCAGCTATTCTTATATCACTGTCCCTTTAAAAACAACAACAACAACCCAACAACCACCCAATCTACCATCTCACCTCGTTGTTGGCTTTCCCAGCATAGCAAATCAAACACACACAAAAAAAAAAATGGTTTCGGAGACACCTCCCCCTTTCTCGCTCTCTCTCCAACGTCAACTCTTAAGACAACACAACGATTGTATGAATTGGGGTGGGGTTGAGGGGGGGGATATTGCCGAAGACGATGTACGCTGTCCTTTGGTCGATACTGTAGATCTGGTTCCTCGTGTGACTGCCCCGTGACTGGCCCGTCCTTACAGATTTCTGGCACTCTCCCCCCCCCCCTCCCCCCTGTGTGTGGGTATATCGTCCGTCTATTGATATCAAGGAGTGTGTCGTTGTATGTACGCTGTACAGGGTGGTGGGGGGTGGGGGGTTGGGGTTGATCCCAGTTTTAACTCTGGGCCCGGGACAAAAGTTGGAGGCGTGGAGAGATCCTGGAGATCTGGCTTGGACGGACGATTGTCACGTGACGCTGGAATTGAATTTTTTTTTCTTTCTGCGTCGGTGTCTTAGACGTTTATCGTAAGGGGGGGGGGGGGGGGACTAGCTGTGGTCTCTGTATGTTGACGTCCTTGGGTCTATGTGTGGTGTGGTGTGGCTATGGGTGGGATTTGGTCCCTGCTTTATGTTGTATATTCAACAGTTATATATGTTGATGTACTTGTGTATGTGTGGTGTGGGTTGGTTCTAAGTAGGATTTGGTCCCTGCTTTATGTCGTGTCTTCAGCATTCCTGTATGGTGATGTCCTTACGTATATGTGTAGTTCTGAGTGGGATTTGATCCAAACTTTATGTTGTATGTTCAATAGTCCCGTATGTTGATGTCCAGACATGTGGGTGGCACGTGGTGGTTCTGAGTGGGATTTGATCCCTGATTTAGGTTGTATGCTCAACAGTTCTGTTTATCGACGTCTTTACTTACCTCAAGCTATGGTGGGATCTCTGCTCAAAATATTTGATCCCCCACGCTCTGTAGACATTACAATTCAGACTTTTCTATTCAAAATATACAAAGACACATTTTTTATAACATGGTTAAAATGTAAACAAAAACAAATAAATAAATTAAAAATATCATTTTGGAAATGATAACAAAATACTATTATGTACTTTTCTACAAAAAAAAAAAAAAAAAAAAAAAAAAAAAAAAAAAAAAAACAAAAAACAAAAAACACACGAAACAAAACTAGATCATCTACACATAAAGGATGAAATGAACATAAGAGCATCTACTGTATCTTCATGCTGTAGAACCACTCGGGGCAAACTCTCCACAATCACGACGAGATTTTTTTCTTCTCCTGCCAAAAAAAATGAGGGGGGGGGGGGGGCGATAGGGCTGGGTCAAAAGTCGTAGACAGCATGACAGGCCACAAAGCGCACGTCGTTGAGACGAGTTTGGCCAGGCGAGAGCGATTCATTTTGACAAATTCACCCCAGACACTGAAGCCTGGTCAAGGGATTTGTCAATAGGATTAGCGATAGTCCACGTTGGTCTGTTACAGAATGGACTGGTTGTGTCCAGTTGGTCTGTTACAGAATGGACTGGTTGTGTCCAGTTTGTTACAGAATGGACTGGTTGTGTCCAGTCTGTTACAGAATGGACTGGTTGTGTCCAGTCTGTTACAGAATGGACTGGTTGTGTCCAGTTGGTCTGTTACAGAATGGACTGGTTGTGTCCAGTTGGTCTGTTACAGAATGGACTGGTTGTGTCCAGTTGGTCTGTTACAGAATGGACTGGTTGTGTCCAGTTGGTCTGTTACAGAATGGACTGGTTGTGTCCAGTTTGTTACAGAATGGACTGGTTGTGTCCAGTTGGTCTGTTACAGAATGGACTGGTTGTGTCCAGTCTGTTACAGATCGGACTGGTTGTGTCCAGTCTGTTACAGAATGGACTGGTTGTGTCCAGTTGGTCTGTTACAGAATGGACTGGTTGTGTCCAGTTGGTCTGTTACAG